GAGATATCTCGGACTAGCTAGGCATAAGAAAATAGAGCCTCAATGGGCTCAATGTGGGAAAAGGTTGTCCAAGAAAATCAGAGCAAAGGGGGCTCAAAATTGGGACTAACGGAGGCAAATGGAGCCCCCTATGAGCATGGGGGTGTCATTATTGTAGTCCGAGATATAACGGCCAACTGCTGAGTCTGAATCTTGCCATAGATGAGGATCCATGGTCTAGAAAAAGACTCAACAACTATTTGACACTTGTCACATCATAAATAAATAAAAAGAAAAGAAAAATTAGCAAAAAAGGCGGAAGAATGAGACAAAATGGGAAAAAAGAGTGGAGGAGAATGTGTCAGTCTATTGGGACCTGCACAGTAGGGACTGGCATGTCCCTACTGTGACCTCATCCCTCCAAGATTCAAGGAGGGCAATCCGAAATGCAAAGATATGGCCCTTGGGGCAATATGTCAACAAAATCTGAATTAAAAAGGCAAAATAAAGAGAAAATGCAAAGAAAAAATGACCGGTTTTCTTTTGGGTCATGGATCTGAGATTTAGATCCATGGAGGAGGGAATATGGCCGTTTTTTATGAGGCCTACCCAAACGGCCTACCCAAACGGCCTACCCAAACGGCCAACTCCGGAATGAGTTGGCAGCCCAAAATGGAAAGAAACAAAAAAGAGAAAAAAAACAGAACTGTGTATTTGGCCCCAAAAGAGGGCCAGATGTACCAAAAATTGAAAAGGAGAGCTTAGGGGTTCAAATTTGAAGCAAGGACTACTTGGGGGTGACACGAAATATTGTTGGTCTTGGATCTCAGCCAGATCCATGGCTGAAATAGCACCGAGGCATGGGAAAATACCTCGGCCTACCAAAAATGGGGTAGAAACTGAAAAAAATCGAGAAAAAGGCCTACTAGGCCTTTTTCTCTAAAGTGTGGTTGCGCCTTGGGCATTAGGACCCAAGGGGGCAGCATTTTGAAAATGAAAAAGAGGCTGAAGGAGGCCAAGAGGCAATCTGAGTTGGTACCAACCACTCGGACTGCATGTACTTGGCCAAAATGAGGGCCGGATACCTCCGGAAAGACCTAGTGGTGAAATTTTGCCTTGGGGGTACCTCGGTTCACCTCAAGGCACATGGGGAGGCCCATGGGCTGGCCGGAGTGTTGGTTTCAGCCTACATAAGCTGAGGATTCAGTCCACCACACTCACATTTGCATGAGGAGTGCCCATGCTGCCCAAGTGAGCTCATAGGAACACTCTTTCACTTAGAGAGAGGAGAGGGGAACCCCTGCCAGCTTGGGAGCTTAGAGGAGACTGTGAGCTAGTGGAAGGAGCTCTAGAGGTTATTGGTAGTGAGGCTGGCCTATGGAGGTAATCCGCCATAGCCCCCAAGCTGTGCGGAAGGGAGAGAGGCTAGAGGGAGTCCCATTAGCCCTCCTAGAGGGGAGGATTCCATAGCCATAGTGGAAGAAGCTTGCCATAGCTTGGGTAAGGTTGAGAAAGGAAGGAGAGAAGGGTTTGTGGAAGGAGAAAGCCATAGCCAAGGTGGTACTTGTGCAAAGAGAGGAAATGCTTCATCAAGGTTGGGGCTCCATCTCCAAGACGCTAAGGAGGTGAGTGGAAAGGAGGAGATTCTCCTTCTTCTTCTTCTTCTTCCTCTTCTTCTTCTTTTTTTTTTTTTTTTTCTTCTTCTTCTTCCTCCCTTTTATCTTCCTCCCCTTCCCCTCCTTCTCCAAAACTCTCTCAATGATTTCTTATCCATATCTCACTCTCTTCTTCTTCACCCTTTCTCTATAGGAACTTTCCTATGCTTAGAGTAGATGGTAGGGATCCTTCTCACTAGTAATGATCTCCCCATGAGCTCTTTCTTCACTCTCATTTGAATCGCCACTTCTCCCCTTGTGATTTCATGCATTTGGGTGAGTTACACTCGCTCTATTCTCATTTTCTCTCCTCTTCTTCACTTAGGAGCAAATCGCAGCTCTTGTCTTTGCTTAATCTCGTGTTTAGATGATGATTACCTCTTGTTTAGTCCATTTCTTCACTCCCATGTGAATCGCCACTTCTCCCATTGTGATTTCATGCATTTGAGTGAGTTACACTCACTCTATTCTCATTTTCTCTCCTCTTCTTCACTTAGGAACAAATCGCAACTCTTGTCTTTGCTTAATCTAGTGTTTTGATGGAGATTGTCTCTTGTTTTGTCCTTTCCCTCACTCCCATGTGAATCGCCACTTCTCCCATTGTGATTTCATGCATTTGGCTGAGTAACACTCACTCTATTCTCATTTTCTCTCCTCTTCTTCACGTAGGAGCAAATCACAACTCTTGTCTTTGCTTAATCTAGTGTTTAGATGATCATTACCTCTTGTTTAGTCCATTTCTTCACTCCCATGTGAATCGCCACTTCTCCCATTGTGATTCCATGCATTTGAGTGAGTTACACTCACTCTATTCTCATTTTCTCTCCTCTTCTTCACTTAGGAACGAATCGCAACTCTAGGCCCGTCGGCTCAGTTCGGGGAGGCTGCTGACATCCCTTGCAGGAGGCCCTCACCACAAAGCTTACCAAGCGATGGATCAGCTAGTACGCAGAATGCCTCTACCTATGACTGTGCTCTGGGCAACTGCCCTAGAAGCTGGGCACAGCAGGACTAACTATTCTGTTAGGAAGAGGTGTTTGATCCTCATCTGGAACTCTGTGTACAAGGTTTATGTCAAGGAGAACGTCTTGCAAGGGTGAGATGAGTAGGAGTACTCCGCATCTGAGTCTGGCACACCTTGGGTGGGGAGCTAACTATACTCATTGCGGGGAAGGAAAGGGCAAGAAACCACGCCCTTACGGTGACCACCACCACAGGACATGGGCTTATGAAAGAAAAATCAAAAGCTTAGTCACAAGACAAGCCAAAACAATATAGTTAGTTTGATTCAGGTCAGTTTCAACCATACTTGCGGAGGCATCGACGTGCGCTGCACCGCGCACACGCGCCACACTGCGCACAGCACAAAACGCGCGCGCATGGGGTGCGGCGCACCCCGAAAATAAGGGGTCGAGGAAAAAAAAAAAAAGTTGGGGAGGGTTGTTTTAGACCCGAGTGGGATGTCGCGTCATAAACCACAAAAAAATATTGACAAAAATTTGAGGCCGCGCGGGGCCTCTGAAAAACAAAAGGGAGGAAGTTCGTTTTTTTGTTTGTGTGTGTGTGTGTGTGTGTGTGTGTGTGTGTGTGTGTGTGTGTGTGTGTGTGTGTGTGTGTGTGTGTGAGAGAGAGAGAGAGAGAGAGAGAGAGAGAGAGAGAGAGAGA